TAGTAGGCTTTCTTTAATTCTGAATTTTCATCTGGTGTGATTTATTTTCAGCCTAGTAACAATTTATCTTAGTTTTTATTACGCCTTCATTTTGAAGTGTATTTTTTCCTGCCTATGTAATTTTGAATAGGTATCTTTTCTTTCAACCTTTTCAATGTGTCATGCCATTGTCTTCTGATTTTCATGGTCTTTGAAAATTGATTAGAATTATTTCTTCCATTACTCTATAGTTGTTCCCTGATATTTAAGTATCATTTTTTTTTAGTACCAGCTTTCAGTGTTTTCTTTTGTTTTCAGAAGTTTGAAAATGGTCAATCCAAGTATGATCTTTGTATTTTTCTTGCTTGGGGTTTTCTGATCTACTTATACCAGAACATTTATGTTAAACCAATTTGGGGAACTTTTCAATCATCTTATTTTCAAATATTTCTAATTTTCTGACATTTTGTTCTTTTCTCTTTCTGGGACTCAGCTTACACATTTGTTGTGCAACTTGGTGATGTCTCACAGATTATTGAGGCTCTATTTGCTATTTTAAATTTATTTTTTTGTCTGTTCTTCAGATAAGACAATTTTATATTAATGTTCTTTACATAAGATAGTTTATATTAACACTCTTTATCTTAAATGACCTGTTCTTCTCTTATCTTCAATCTGATGTTAAGCTCATTCAGTAAAATTTTCATTTCAGATAGTTTGTTTTTGAATTCTAGAATTTTTGTTTGGTTCTTTTTCCTTTCTCTGTAGAGATTCCCAATCTGTTTATTTATTATGATCATGACTTCTCTTAATATTCTCAAGCATATTTTCACTAGCTGCTTTAATGTTCTTACCTGCTGATTCTAACATCTAGATTGGTTTCTAGTGACTGTTTTCTCTTGACTGTGGGTTAGTGGCAAACATAAGGCAACTATGTCTTCTCATGTATAGTTTTTGTTGCTGTTATTGATGTAGATGACATCATGTATTGAGTCTGGATCATGACATCTTCCTTTAAAAGGTATTGAGCTTTGTTCTGGCAGTCAGTTAAATTATTGCCCAATCCTTATAGTTTTGTTATTATTATTATTACAATCCTATTAGAGGAAGTATATTTCAGTTTTGAATTTAATTTTAGGGTATATTTCCTTTCTCTAGAGCTTAGTCTTTAGACTAAGACAGGCTTTTAATGTCGATGCACTCAGTAAGTTCTTTTAACCTGGCTTGGTGAATCTTCGATGTTTTTCAGTGTTGTATGGTCTCTGGTGTGGCTTGCTGTCCATCTCCTAGTTCTATAGCCAGTGATCTTTCTTAGGATGCCTCACCTGTGTATGTGCTGCTCGGTTTTTGGCTAAAGACCTGCAGTGAATGCACATGACCACTTCTGAAACTCCCTTTTTCATAGCTCCCTCTTTCCAGCTACCCTGCCCCACAAATCCATCGGCTTCCTCAGCTCAGTAAGAACGATCACCACTCTGCTTGGGACCCATCTCCCTATTTTGAGGCTCTCAAGTATTCCTAAAGTAGAAAGGTAGGAAACATGGGATTCAACATGTGAGTCTCCTTTCTCCCAAGGATCATAGTCCTGTGCTACTCCATGCTTGAAAGGACTGCCTCGTATTTTATTCTATTTATAAATTTTGGCAGGAGGGCGAGTCAATTATCCTAGAAATGAAAAGCTATGTGATAGTCAATGTTAAATGAGTTAAGATGTTAAAAAAAAGTTCTGTATAAACAATAAGTCTCTAAGCAAACACCTATATTATAGTGATATCTTTATTCAGCAAGGATTGGTAATCACACAGACTTTTATGTATCATAAAACTGACTACACACCACACACAAGAGTATGCACATGTACACACACACACACACACAAGATATATTCACTTTTTTCTTCCCCTAGTCTCTCCTGTCTTCACCCCACCAATTGTTTTCAGTTAAACTTCAGCTGTTCTTTTCTTTATGTAAGGGAGAAATTTATGGGCAAAGAAAGGAACTCTTGTAGTCTGTGGGTGGGAAATATTCAGTCTGTTTTTTTTCTCTTCTTCAAGGTTTAACTCTCTTTCTATGAGGGAGCAAAAGTCTGATTATTCCCAAATGATCATTTTAGTGCTGCTCTAACTACTTTTGTAGGTGTTCAGGTGGCGTGATCCAGGAGCAAAGTTAAGAAACACCTGCCCCATCCCTTTTATTTCTGAAATACCATGGAGGGGTAAAACCTACAAGCTCAGGCCAAGTCATTCATTTTTATAAAACGTCTGGGGGGGAAAAAGTGCTTTTGAAACAGTAATAACCTGCCTTTGATAAGTCTGTTTTGTGTAATTAAAGAAATAAAGCCTGTTCCCTATGCTCCTATATCTATCTAGTGACTCTCCCTTGCTCTACTCTGTAATCTGGAAGACTCTGGCACCCAGACTCTTAAAAGGGACATAATCAGAACAAAATTCTGTGTGTAGACTTTGTCAGAAGTCATTTGAATGCCAATCAAAATGGTGGTCCCTTTGCTGAGTTCTTCCACAGTCATTATTAAAAGCGAGAAGCAGGCTAAAGTTAGGTAACAACTAGGCTTGAGCCCATGTGAACTTGAACGGAGAGATTCAGATGTGTAATAAGCATCTTTGCGGACGGAGGTTAAAGAAGGAATGTTGAGAACACTAACTACAGAAAGAGAAAGTAGATTCTACCTTGCTGGCTGCTATCACATCTCACAGGACTGTAACACTGTGTTAAGTGCATTTGCTATAGTTTGGATCTTGCATGTCATCAAAGCCCCATGTGTTGAAGGCTCAGTCCCCAGCCTGTGGTACTCTTGGGGAGGTGGTGGAACATTTCAGAAGTGGGGCATAGAGGGAGGTCGTAGGTCATTGGGGGTGTGCCTTTGAAGGGATGCCTCTTCCTCTCTTGCTTCCTGGCCATGAGGTGAGTGCTTTTGCATCATGCCCTGATGTGCTATCCCCCAACCAAAGAGCTAAAAGCAAGATGTCCTCTGGATCATGGACTGGAACCTCCCAAACTATGACTCACATTAAATCTTTTATCTCAGGATTTGTCTTAGTGGTGGAAAGCTGAATAACACAGCAAAACACCTGGTTTACTGAGGTATTGATGTGGTTGCAACAGTGTACATTTTCAAATTAGAAATTCTCTCTCCTTTAAGGGGCTACTTTAGGGCTAGAGTGCTCTGAAATCCAGTATTGATAAAATTTTATTGTTTTCAGTGATTACGATGAATCAAAATTAAGTGTGCTTATGAATGGAAAAAAAACTTTGAATATTTAAAAATTCTGATAACCTTTTTTGATTGTCCTTACTCCAGATTTTCTGAATGCTCCCCTCCCATAAACCCTTTAATTCTCACATCACAACATGCTTTTATGTAGTAATGCAGAGAAAAGTAACAGAAGCTGAGAGAAATTTTATTTTTCTTTTAAATGGAAGGAAGGAAAAGGTGGGATTGCATTTTTATAAATATCTATAAATACAGAGTGATAGGCAAAATCTTCCAAATAAATAAATAAATATGGCCATATGCTAAGGGACACAAGGAACAGCAGGGGCTACCTTGGCTCTGCCAAAAAGAAGACTCCCAATGGCGGTCCTGGGTTCCTGAGATTACAATCAGTTTTCTACCAAAGTCCTTTTGGGATTTCCCATCTAATTATGAGGAAGGGGAGAGAGCATCTATAGCTACTGTACAAGACAAAGTCCCCAACAGTAAATGAAAACCATGAAAGAAATTATTCACCACGCCCCACTGTATATGCTGCTCTACACAGTTTGAGTATAGGAACTAGTCCTTCAAAATCATCAGGTCAAAGTCCTCATCCAGTGTTTCTCTGATCAGGAAAAAGAATGGATCAATCTCTAGTCTGGGTACATGAAGGTGGCAGGAAAAATAAAAGGTGGGAAGAAGTTGGAATCTAGTTTGTTAATATTCTGCACTTTAGGTGGTCATTTTAAATAGAGGTAGGAAAAGAGGGACCGTGCAGGTAGAGTCTAAGCCACTGGGAAAGACTAAGATGAGGGCTGAGCATTAGTTCCCATCCGGCACACCTCAGCTTTCTCAAAGTCTGGCTGATTTTTCCTCAGCACAGCACTGGGGCTCCTGGGACTAAAAGCTCTCTTAACATAATGCCCTAGGAACTTCCAAGTGGATGGAGAGCCTGCCATCAGCCTAGGAGTACTGTAACTAATCCTGTAGCCACCTCTGCCTCTTCTATAACCTGGTTATTAGACTTCTTGCCCGGAGTCCTTGATTTCACTTTACTTACAAGAAAATTGTATTGTTTTAGTCCATGGAAAGTCCAACCCAGAGCAGTTGTAGTATCTCTAGGCCCCTTCCCGACACATTTTTGAAATTCATGTCAAAGGTATTACTCAACCTGCAAGTAGAGGCATAATTAAATGCCTCTTAGGAGAGAGCGAATGTGTTTCCCTTTTGCAAAATCCTGTCGGGTGGGGTAGATTTTCATGAACCAAAAACTAATCTTATTCTTTCGGCCTAATTCATTAAAGCCAAAAATGGGGCCAAGGAATGAGGCAAAATTATCAGGCACTTGGGAACTAGTGCAGAATCACTCTTGGTCCTCTGGCTCTGGTTGTGTAAAAGGAGAGAGGGAGGCAGAGCGCAGCCACTCTGCAAAGGGGTGGAGCTTTCTGCTTCAGTTCCCAGAGCATTCTCCATGTTGTTTTGACCAGCCCACCTCAGTCTCCTTTGATAGCCTTTCCCCCAGAGATACTCCAGGCAGAACCAAAACTTGAAATTAGTGTTCTCATCAACTCGCCTGGTTCAGCTCTTAATGTCAAGGTGTGCAAACTCAAATGCCAGTAGGATCCAGATAAGTAACAGAGCACTGGAGAAGCTGCTAGATGGCGCCTTCCCACACCATGAAAACCCAACCTGCCACTGCTTTTTCTAAATGCTAGACTGATGTAGAGGAGAGGCATAGGGAAGGGAAGTGGGGGTGGTTGGAATCCCTTTTCTTCCCTTTAATGGGACATTTACCTGTTGGGGTTTCTTATACCAAGAAGCGGGGGTGTAGGGTGGGGGAAATGAAACCCCAGCGCGGCATCGGGGTGTTGAAGTGGATCAGCGGGATGAGGTTCCTCCGGGACAGGAACTGGGAGTAGGGCGGCGGGTTCATGCCTGGCAGGAAGGCCCTCTTGGCCCGGCCCAAGCTGACCAGGAAATGGTGCTGGGGGGAGTGGTAGATGTCATAGCCATTCTCCAGCGTCTGGTGCCTGAACCTGCAGTTGTCCAGGTTGAAGTAATGCTGGAGGGGCGAGAGGGCAGTGGGTGAAGGCTGGCTGGGTGAGGGCCTGACCCCAGGCCCCCAAGGGCTTAGGCGCCTGTGTACCCTGTCCGAAGCTTGGGAGTGTTTTACCTGTTCAGCTTTCACTTGGCTCCTTTCTTGGAAAACAACGGATTTCCACTAATGCACTCCAAGCTCTCCAAGCACTAAATATGGTTCCAGTCTTTAGACTAGAAAACCTGTGCTCTGGGTCTTTACAACTCAGTGCCTGAGACCTGGGCAGGCCTGGCACTTGGCTTGCTAGGGCTGGGCCCAGAGAGGAACAGGGACACTCCTTGTGCCTAGTTTCTGGAGGGAGGGTTAACAATCCACACCCCCCCCCCACCCCCCCCCACCCCCCCCCCCCCCCCCCCCCCCCCCCCCGCCAGCAAAGTTTCCACCGTTTAGAGCTGTTCTGGCTGAAAGTTGGCTTGTGTTTGTCTCCTTGCCTGGAGAAAGGAGGAGATGGGATGTAGTGTTGGGTCAAACATGAATGAGGATACTGACAATGGAGAGAGAATGTCCTTGGGGGATTAGGGACATGAACTTGCTAACATATGAATTGGGTTTAAATCCTCATTCTACTAGTAGTACTAGGTTTTATTGAGTTCCTATGAGGGCCTTTATATACTATTCCACTTAATCCTCAAACTCCACAAAGTATTTGTACAGATGAGGATGATCTATATGCCTGTATGGGCTCAGCCGGTGTTTATCCACTCTGGCCAGATAGATGTTGGTCCTGGGACACAGCAGTGAACAAAATAAAGTCCTCACTCTCAAGAAATTCCTAGTGGGTATGCTGGTTGGTAACAGAATCCTAGGGTAAACAATCCTTCTCTTTGACCATCTCAAAATCCTCTGGACTACGCAGCAAGCTTTACTTGGGAAACCCTGTGCTTACCAGTCTTAAGGACCAGAGATCCCCACTAGGGCACAGGTAGTTAATTAAGAGATCTTTAATGGGAGGGAGCATCACAGATCATGTGGTCCATTCTACTTCACTTTTTCCAAGGGAAGAGACTGGAGAAGTGAGAGGACTTGCCCAAGGTCACAGTTGGTAACAGATTCCAGAAGACACCACTGGCCTTTCAACGTTTTCTAATCTATGTTGCAGCATGAATTTACACAACCTGAGAATCTACAAATACATTCAGGGGGCCACACTAGATGCAAAAGTAGGAAATAGTAGGCAGAACAGACTGGAGGAAGCCCGGGCTGCAGAACCAGGCTGTAACCCCCACCCCATACAGCTGCACATTTGATACTTAGTCTGGATAAAGTACTAAGTGAAAACAGATCACCCAGGGACACTGCAAGTAGAGCCTTTAAACTAGAAAGTCTATGCTCTGCCAAAGAAATAATTGCAAATGGTGACCAACATAAAAAGAAACTCACTGATCCAAAAATGTTGCCTCTGAAATCCATACAGAGGAATCTCCTACTCATCACACCTGTGATCACCACAAAGCCAGCATCCTCTGATCTGATCAGCAGGGCACCTGTGGAGAAAATTATTCAGGTCACAGACTCAAGTTTCCACCTCATGAAACCTCCTTGTGGGGAAGACTTCACATAACTCCCTTCCTGCTTGTTCCCCCTCATTTCCTGTGGCCCCTTTCCCTGCTCATTCACCTCCCACTTCGTCCTCTTACCTGTATGGGGATCAATGGAGCTCACCACTTTCTTTTAATTTTTTACTATTTTTTTTTTTAGCTGTTGATGGACCTTTATTTTCTTCATGTATTTATATGTGCTGCTGAGAGTCGAATCCAGTGCCTCTCATACGCCCAGCAAGTGCGCTACCGCTCAGCCCCAGCCCCTCACCACTTTCTTTTTCCTGTGCCCCACACACATTTCTCTCTCTCCACCTGAACTTTATTTCTCCCCTTGCCTGGCTAATACCTCTTTAATGTCTGTGGTAGTGGACATGTCCTCCCAAGCTTTCTGCTTTTGTTATTTTTTATTTCTATGCTAAGATGTCTTTCAGGGATCTAGCTTGTTTAGAGAGTCTCACATTTCCTGTCAAAAAACAAACAAGCAAAAAAACCCCCAAACCTTTCCTTTTGCCTACCAGGGGATTTCTGTGTGCATCTCATTTGACTTCATTTGACAGCCCCCCCCCCCCCACCCCATGGTGGTGGTTAAGGGGGGTTGCCCAGCCAGGAATTAGAATCTGTTTTCTGCAAACACCCCCTGGAGAGGTTGTAAATGCCCATCATCTGTGCCTAGCAAGTGGTGGAGCCTCTGGGGGAGCCTTGGGGTGACTTGAAGTCCTGGGCTCCTCTCCTACCCTGTGAGGGCTCAATACAAAGACCTCTGGGGGGGAGAGTGGCTGGGCAATGATTAGACTGAGCCTGATGTGGACTGAAGTTGGAATGACGTGGGACACAGGGATGGAGGGTGGAAGCAAACCCAGAAGAAAGGGAACAGAAGAGAGCCAAGAAGAGCAGTTAATTTATTTGACTGAAGGTTAGCCTCCAGGGAAGCTTCTGGAAAGTGTGGTGAGGTGTGGGAGGTACAGAAGATATTTAAATTCCTCCAAATTGGTGACTGTCTATGTGTCTCAAATGTATGGTCAATTTTGTGGTTAAACTCTGAGGAAAAACATAAGGAATATATAAGAGGTAGTTTCCACCCTATGGCTTTTTAGTCCTATCGAGAAAAAATTACACTTACTAATGATTTTGGAGTGGTTGCAGTCTAAGTGTTTTTCACATTTAGAATTCTCAAAATAGCTGTTGTATTGCTGTTAATATTATTTTAGTAGTAGTAGAAGCATCCCAACTTAAATGATAAAGCAGGATTCATCACAAGTATGAGAAGACAAAAATGCAAAAGACATGCTGTAGGTCCCGAAAACACCAAGTTTCAGTGCCCCTGGGGTGCAGGGAAGAGGCACTGAACCCAGAGACTTGGACTCTGGTATCAATTCTACCACTTTAAGAACTTGTGGGCTCCGGTAACTTTGTTTCAGCCTGGGTTTCCTCAGCTGTGAAATGAACAAAAGTACAGCCGTCCTGCCCACATTGTAAGTTATCACAAGGATTGAATGGGTTAATGGTTGCTAAGGGCCTTGACAGTGTTGTGCATCATGGTGCAGCTGACCTGCTGTTTGTGCCAAACCCACATGCAATCGTCATGCTGGTCTGATGCTTGGGGCCAGCACTGGACATGCTCCTGGTCCAGGGCCAGTCCCAGTAGAAAACAACCTGCAGCTACTGTGGTTGGGGTGGAGTGGGGTGGGGTACACAGGCTCTTGAATCAAACCAATGTAAGCCAGTGTGAAAGTTTAGAAAATGTAATTTAAATGGATTTTCTCCCCTTTGTGTTTTTAGTAGGCATGTTTTCTCAGTCTGCACACATCCAAGGGAAATTTCAGCAGAAAGAAGCAAAAAAGCACTTTGGCCGTGGAAGTCATCTGCTCTCCCCGTTGGCACTTGACAGGCTTAAGGAACATTATTTCAACAATGGAGGTGTCCCATGCCTATGACCTTGGAAGGGCATGGGATTTGGGATCCAGATGTCCTCTAGGTTATATACTACCTGTGTGGCCCTGAACCAGTTACATTCTTTAACTTTTGTTTTTCATGTCTGAAATGGAGGTGTTTAAACCACCTCTAGTCCTGCTGAGGATGTAATGAGATGAGTTTTCACCCATTTAAAGAGCTTTCTAAATGCAATTTAGAAAGTAATTGTTACTATTACTGTTTCATTTCAATTTCTGCTAAAAAGTAGAACATTATCTGCTTATTTCTACTTTCATAGCCAGTATGTGATAAATAAGATGGTAAATGTAAAGGGTTTTGAGCGCCTCAAAAGATAAACTATGAAGAAGGCTTAAAGACCCTGAGTAGTTCAGCTTCCAGTACAGAAGAATTGGAGAATGGAGGAAGCAAAAATATTAGGATCGAGGAATTGATATTAACTAAGCCTGGGCAGGGGGTACAGCTCAGTGGTTGAATTCTTGCTTAGTATACGTGAGATCCCCAACACCTCAGGGAGAATTAAAAAGAATGGGATATTAATTAATAGTAATGAGCATCTATTTCCTGTTGTTTCTACAGAGTTAGGTTAATGGAGAATAGGAGGGTGGACTTGTTCACAGTGGAACAAGTGTGTAGGTACTGGGGAAGCCTCCTGACTTCAGCTTAGTGAACCCCAGGGGCTCTGGTAGAATCTCATAGATAATTTCATTTTATTAAGATCAGTGGCTCCAAGAGGGGTTGAACCCTCAACCCTTAATCAGTGATCTACTAAAACACAATAGTAAAAAGAATCAGATTTCACTGGAAATGTAAAATTATTTGGGAAGGGAAAATAACATGTTTTTCCTTCAGTGTGGAGAGCACTGCTTTATGTTTATCAATGATGTCATCCAAAATCTTTTACCAGACTTATCTACATGCATTAGTGTTTCTTCTTTCCTTTCTTGATAACTTAATCTTAATGCACACTTTTTTCCCTTTTTTAAAAATACACCTGATAACTGATGGAACATCACCAAAGCTTATATAAATTAGGGAAAGTAAGTGCCTCTCCTGTAGCCCTGACTCTGAGTCACCCATCCCAAGCTAGTGTGTTCATCTTCCCCCCCCAAAAAACAATACTTGGATGGCTTGTATGTCAGACAAAACAAACCTAAACACAATTGTGTGTGTGTGTGTATGTGTGTGTGCACGCACACACACACACAAATCTGAAGTCCATTCAGTCCATTTTGCTTCTTAGTCATTTTAATGCATCTAGTGTTGAGTGCATTCTCCAATGTAACTGGTTCAGGGCCACACAGGTAGTAAATAACCTAGAGGACATCTGAATCCCAAATCCCACGCCCTTCCAAGGTCATAGGCATGAGACACCTCCATTGTTGAAATAGAGATTTGATTGCTCTTTTATTTCTTCTGCTTGAACTACATTGGATCATCTTTTATTTTTCTGAATTCTTAGAGTAATTTTAACATGTTCTCCAAAAATAGAACACCCTTCTTCATACCCATCTCCCTTCTAATTCCTTTGTCTCTTACCTAGGCACACAGCAAAGGATGGTCATTTGAATCACAGCTACTTGACAGACTATTGTGGACTGTTATCCAACTTTCATCAAACCCAATCTTTAAAAACATTCTGGTTGTCTCATGTTGTCAATGAGTTTGCAGACAGCTCAATTTGTTACTGATTAGACACCTTCTAGCTCCACTGACCAGAACTGAGTACCTATATGGGGCACCACTGAAGCACCTCATAAACCTATTGGATGGATACATGGATGGATGGATGCATGGATGTACAGATGAGTGGACAAATAGATTGTATACCTGGTCAGACTCACCAAGACAATGTATCTGGGCAATCTGCCTTTAATACATTTCTTCTTAATAATTTTAACAAAATCCGAATACTAGAAGCTCAGAGTTGGAAAGAACCTCTGAATTCATCTATTCCAATCCTTGGAATGATACAGGAATCTTCATAACATCCCTAGTTAGCCTTGTTCAAAGTTCATGAGCTAAAACTTAGTGTCTATTGATTATCTATCTGGCTTCTTCTCCTTTTAGATACCTTGCCTGTCTTTCTGTACATTTTTTTTTAAATCTTGGGACAAGTCAAAGTACAAGTGGTTTCTATTATGGGAAGAGTATTTTAGTCAAGACAAATTATTAAATTATTCGTGTTGAAAGAAATTAGTAAATACTAATTAGGGAGGTGGGCATACCTTTCTTTCTTTCTTTCTTTCTTTCTTTCTTTCTTCCTTCCTTCCTTCCTTCCTTCCTTCCTTCCTTCCTTCCTTTCCTTTCCTTTCCTTTCCTTTCTTTCTTTCCTTCTTTCTTTCTTTCTCTCTTTCTTTCACTTAGCCCTGGGGTGCTTACTTAACCTCTGAGCTACATCCCCAACCTTTTTTTTAAAATATTTTATTTGGAGACAGGGTCTTGCTGAGTTGCTTAGGGCCTGGCTACATTGCTGAGGCTGGCTTTGAACTCAAGATCCTCCTGTCTCAGCCTCTGGAGCCACCAGGCATGTGCCACAATACCACCTTGCCCCCGCCCCTAAGGTTTTACAAAAAGCCTACAGATACCATTAAGGGGTTCAAGGCAAAGAGGCTACCAGGCTGGATTAGCCCTCTGGTCTACCCCAAGGCTTCCCCCCCAGGTAGACAAAGGAGAGTTCCCCCATTTCCCAACTTCCCAGCCTGAAGCCCCTACTCACTGTAGATGGTCTGATGGGGTGTGCCATCCACTTGGCAGTCCTTGTGGATCTGCAGGTGGTAGCTGTTCCTGGCCGTGGCAGTGTACAGGTGAGTCAGGCCGCCCCAGTTGGAGGCCAACAGTGGAGAGGTGTTGGGATAGGCTCTGATGATGCGCATGCTGCAGACACCACACAGAGCCCAGACCAGGAGCCTGAGGCAGGTCCCCAACATAGCTGTTTTCTGAATGGCTAGTGCTGAGTTTGAAACCTGACACTCCCTCCTTGACTCCCCAGGCCTAGCCCTGTCTTCTCCGTTCTGGCAAATAGCAGAGTGAGGAGCCTAGGCTGGATTCCCTCCTTTCCCCCCTCAGACTTTTAAAGGGTAACAGCGTGACATCAAACAGGAAAAACTCCACTGTCCACATCCTCTGTGTTGTAATCAGCCATTCAAAGAAAGTGCAGAGACTTCTGAGGCTCACGGAAGGCACGTCAGTTACACACACCCCTCAATTTCAGACCAGTGCTCCCAAAAGTGAGTGATGTGTGGGCAAAAGTTATCTATGACACTGGGTCATCTGATGACCTGTCCCACTTCCACCAGGAAATGTGAAGGCAGCCAGCGGTCCCAAAAAATCCAGCTCCAGTCATGTAGTATCCCACCTCCTCGGCTGGTCATCTCTCACCCAGTCTACTCATTTTGGTTTCCTCAGTCCTTTTAACTCTAATTGCCATGTATGTACCCAGTGCTTTCTGTGTGTGCAGCATCAGGTGGGTGTCTTGATCGATATAGAGATATGTGACACCATCAGGCAAGTGGCATCCGCTGAGACTCCCACCTCAGGAAAGATATTCGAGCTGGGATCTGGGACACAAAACCCAAAGTTGCCATTTGGAAAGATTTCAAAGTGGGCAAAGGAAAACAAGGCTTTGAGGTCACCGAAAATACCAAGGTCCGATTTCTCAGTTTCCCTAGTTGGGAGATTTAGGGCAACTGAACTGGTAATCTTGGTCTCTCCAATAGGCAGGAGATGAAATCAGAGGCTTATGGGGATTAGCAGGGCTGCTGGCTGAGCAGAGGTGGGCAGAGTGCTGGAAGCACCCTCAGCAGAGTGTTCACACGGGGTGTCTAGCTCTATGACTGGTGCCTTCTTGCAGAGGATGCTCCCAGGAATGTCCTGTGGAACTACACGTCTGACACAGGGTTGTGGCCGTGGGGTGGTGGTGGTGGTGGTGGTCTTAGCACATACAGTCCAAGGAGAGGCAACCAACCACACACTGGAATTAGTACACAGAAACCAAGCCCCATCACTGGGCTGCTCACTGTCCCATTCCCTTCCAGAGTTTCCAGAAAAACATGCCCCAGGAAGACTGCCATTCTTTCAGTTTCTCATTTTACTGAGCATATACTACAGATAAGAATAAAGCATAAAGCTAGACATTGTTGTTAATTAAAAGAGAATGAGATATGATCCTGTCTCAATCTAATGGAGGAGGCAGATAAAATTAAGTAACTATCATACAAAGCATGCACCGTCAGACAGACTCGGGCAAGCCAAAATGGCCTTTGTAACCCCACGGGGGTACAGGTTTTTCTAGTTTACAAAGTATTTTCAAATCAGCTAGCTCATTTTAACTTTACTGCAAACTATGAGAGAGGTACTTCAGGTATTGTTAGTATTTTAATGTTATTTGTGAAGAGATGAAGATGTCCGTTGAGCAAATAACTGGTAGAGGAAGGACAGGATCTTTTGATTCCCTGTGCTACTTCTCTAGTAAGAATCTCAGGGGCAGCAAATGCTCGAGAACTTATCCTTCCACTTCCTATTTTAATGCTTGTATAATTTACTTAATCTTTAGAATAACCCTTTAAGGAGGTACTGTTATTCCCTTTATAGAGATGAGGAAACTGGAGCACATGGCTTAAGTAACTTGCACAAATACACAACTAATTCATGGAAGAGGATGGATCTGAATCCAGGTCTGACTTAGCTCTGCTTAGCTCTTTGCAAGATGTGCAAGCCTACCCAGTATGTTACAGCCAGAGCTATGACACTTGGTAAGTACAAGTAGCAATGAGACAGAGTGCTTTTCTCTAGTAAATCAACATTTTTACCCAGGGTATGTCTCTAGCATATACGTGCTTGTCTCTAGAGTTTAAATGGAAGATGGATAACATTTAAGTGCTTATGTCTAAAACAGACTTCCTTCATAGAAGTCACAGAATGGTTTATAAATACAGCATCATAGTTTAGCTATATGAAGAAACAGCTAGCTTTCAGAATTGAAATGCACATCATTCAGAAATATTTGCCAATTGATAACCCTGCATTTCCTCTTCCTGGTGCAAATGGTAGAGGGATGGGAAGTACCTGTGAAGCAATCAGCAGCTACTGAGAAACTTCTCTGAGAGGTGGGAGAGAGAGAGTTACAGGAATAAAAAGTAGACCAAATTTATCTTCTGAGTTTGACAATATGGTTAAGCTGAGAAAAACTTTGCTCATGGCCATGTTCTATGTAAGAGCTAAATTACTAGGACGTGTAAGAAATGCCACAGGCATTCACGAGGGAGAGATTTTGGGTGTGAATGCTGGACTCAAGGTGCTTTGGGGAAGGAGAGAGTGAGCTTTGTACAAGGGGCAGGGTGTTGACCAGCACCCAAGGCACAGAGGGGAGGATGTGCAGGTGTCCAGAAAGGAGTTCCTGGGGTGACTGTGGATGGGGCACATGTCCCTGACCAGTTGAACTCCTGCTATTAGGAAAGAGAATTGTGCCATCACTATACTTCCAAAGACTTTCCTCCAAGGAAAAGCCGTGAATTCACAGCAGCTGGTTGTGAAGGAGAGTGTGGCCTGGGAAGTGGGTTTATTTCCTGGGAGTAGGTTTATTTCTAAGGGGTCTGGGGAGGGAGGGGGGGTGATGAGACAGTCCCCACTTGGAGAGAGTAAAGGGAAATGCAAGACTGTCCGAATAATTCTTTGCATTTGTAATATAGAACAGTTGAGAGCAAAGATGAGAGTTACCCAGTTGCATGCAGAGAGGCAGAACTTCCACCTCCCTGGCTGTAACTCCCTACCAAAGGGCTCCAGACCTGGTTTCCCATTAGAATCACCCGTGGAGCTTTAAAACCCAAAACATCCCAGGGCTGATCTTAAATCTACAGGGGTGAAGGACAGCTATTTGTGCCTTTCCTTGCAGAGCCACCTGGGAGTGTCTGATATTTAAGTATTTATCAGTGAACAGGCTCTGAGTCTCAACCACACACTGGAATTAGTACACAGAAACCAAGGCCCCATCACTGGGCTGCTCACTGTCCCATTCCCTTCCAGAGTTTTCAGCCTATGTGTAGATTAAGATGGGCCTTTCTAGGGAATCTGAGTAGTGCATGCCCGGTTGGTCAGTGCTCTGTGCCCACAAACAGCCTTTAACTGGAGCCTGTGTGGTTTCTGAAGCTCCAGAGTACGAGGGGAAAGACACCGGTGTGTGGGTTCCTTGTCTCTGAATCTAGAGGCCCCCTTGGCCACGGTTCAGGATATGGGAACTACTGCAACCTTAGGAGCCCAAAGTGAAACAGATGGCAGATGTGAACAGGAAGCTCATGGAGGAGGCTGCTGATTTGCACTTCTGGATGTCCCCACCCTCAGTTCCCAGTGACTGCCAGATGCAACAGAAAGGATTGTCCCAAGGCAGGTGTGCAAACGTGCTTATCTGCCTGCCTTGGGAGCCCCTGCTCTGACCTCAGGAGAGTCCCCCTGTGTGGAGGCCTCTGGTCCAGGCCCTGCACTTCCACTCAGAGGACCCAGCTCTAAAGATGAATTGGGGATGGTGGGGATCTCTAATCCTTCAAGTTCACCCATTTCCTTCATCTCCTGTCTTCTTTTTCTCAGAATCCACTCTGAGAAGGTATTGAGGAATATTATCTCTACCAGATCATATTTTCTCAATGAAAAGACTTGATAACAATTTACAAAAAGTAACATTGGCTTGACCATCATTAGCTATGGTGAAAAATATTGAGGAATCAAGATGAAAGAAGACCTGGGAGGTAGGAGGGGAGGTGGTCTAGTGTGGCTCAAAGTCTTCTCTTGAGACTCTGTCTAAAGACCTTGTCACCAATGGGAGACCTTGTCAGACTTCTGTGCCCTGTGCCTCTCCTTCTCATGATCTATCTCCATCAGGTTATAAAGGGTTCACCGGTACCTCACTGTCACAGGGGTGACCTTGCCCAGTCCCTGCATGCAGACAGATGTTTATCTAAAGGCAAATGGTTGTTCCTTGTTTTCTGAAGTTCTCTGGGGAGGTGCTGCAACCTTCCAGAAAATGTCATTCTTATGTGTCTTGTCATCCTGTCAGTTAAAACATGCTTTTGGGGGTATGGGTGTAGCTTAGTGATAGAGCCAGTGAGACCCTGGATTCCTTTTTCAGTGAGGTAACAAATAAAAACAAAACAAAAATACACTTATTTATATCCAAGCAGATTCTCTTGCTTTAATATACTACCTATTCAATGAACACATCACTATTTAGCCAAAGCCTATTACATGGTAATACCTTGTAGAAAATCTTCAGGGAAGCATAAGAATGAAAAGTTCAGCCATGATCTTCAGGGAACCTGCAGTTTACTGAACAGAGTGGATTTTGCATTTGCCCAGCACTTCACACCTACAATAGATGCTCACAACATCTGTGTCAGTTGGTGCTCAAAACAGCCCTGTGAGATATGCTGGAAGGTGTTTGGGGTGACTTTCCCAAGAGAATCCTGGATCCTGATATACACATCCTGTGTTGTCAGGATTTAAAGGAAAATAAGAAAGGAAAAACAAAAAAAGGAAAAACAAAAAAAGGAAAAAAACACATTATTTTCAGTCTGTTGGTTTAAAAAACTAATCAATGAAGAAAATATGAAATAGGAGGTGAATATCTCCTATATAGGCTCTACCCTGTGGAGGTAAGATGTTACCAAAGGTATAATAATATTTGTAGCTTGGGGGATAATTATACACACACATATAATTCATATATATATATATATATATATATTTTTTTTTTTGTGTGTGTAATAGATGTTCTTTTAAAAAGTCAACATTGAGGGCATACTATTTAGCATAAGCACATTCCGTCCATGCCAAAGTCTATTTGACTATCTTTCCAGGTCAGTATGTATGTCTCTCCCTCTTTTTTTTTTTTTTTTTGAATCAGGATGATATACACGACAGCAGAATGCATTACAATTCT